GCATTTACTGAGTTATTTGGAATGCCTTGTTGCATGAACCGAGTACATGTTTCATTCTGATTTTGCTTTCTTTTTCAACTGAATTTCGACTCGGGTTAACGGATGAACCGAGTTTTAAGAGGCATTTCGTTTGTTGCTATTCGCCTTCATTTACCCACGTACCAACTCCGCAAAGCTGCTTGACATGGAAATGGTAGTACTATGAAAAAACAAACGCTTGACTAGCAGGAAGGTAGAAAATTTTTATTGGGAAAAGCGGTCTGACGGTTTGATTTTTTGCAATGCAAAGAAGAGAAGGAGTTACTGCTCCGGTTCGACTAATGTTGGCCATCTTTACAACCACTTTGCAAGCCCTGAATTCACCCTAAACCACAACTGACCTTGGAAAACTGCTCCAGTACCTGACAAAGAAAATTTTAGTTTGGGAGGAGGCATTACTCAAGTGACAGCCCACCTTACAGAGAGCACAGAGTAAGCTATATTTCAGCTTCTCACCGAACTGCGGCATCGGTTTGCGAAGTGCTCATTCAAATATGTACAAGCTGTACGCCTAGTTCTTAAAAATCAGTCGGATCGTTGGCTATGCCGGGCTCTTCTTCACACCGTAATAAAGTCCTGCTTATGCTCTATATCTCTGAACAACCTGGTTCACTCCTGACTCAGCCCAAATAGACCTATCATCTTGACTCTGATTACGCTCATTTCGCGCACAATCGCCCTCTACGGGCAGATCCAGTTCAAATTTTCTAGCACCTACCCCTACCAATCTTGAACGCCCCAAGACCGAATTAGCAATTTCCGCGCACCCCAATTCCTGCGCTCCATGTACAATAAGACTACTCCTAACTCTAAAAGGGTCATTGTTGCTGGTACTCATGCCAAACGCACGCACAGTCATTTTCAATGATATTGAAATACGAGTTTGCAATAATCTAGAAAGCCAACAGTGAAACACGGTTTCTGAAGTCTAAGCACTGCACGATTAACGATCAAAACTACTTTAAAAACCATGGTTATTTCGGAAGAAAAGTGACTAGCTGAGTGCCAGCCTATTGAATTCGATTAGTGCTCGGTCTCGTCAGCAGAGACACCGCCCTGTTGACCCATTTCATTTTTTCTTCCTTTCATTTCTTCTTTTCACCAATTCTTCTTCTTGAAATGTTCCTCGCCTTGCGGTAACAGTTCACTGTTTATAGTTTCCAAACAGCTGTTCGCATTGAAGTACACTCTGTGCGGAATGAAAACCAGCGGTACTTTGCAGGTGGCAGTTATTCCGACGAAGATCATTCACAACTTTTATTAAGCAGTATTAGTTACGGACGCAGGTCCATGTGAATGTCAGTAAGGCGACGGCCTTGCCATTTCAGAGAGAGGGGAAGTTTCCGTGGATACAGTAGAGAACTCGCGGCGAATTAAAAAAAAACAGGGAGAAGCTCCTTACGAGCGAGAACCTTCGGAGGGTCGAAATTCCCGCCCTGCATTTGTTTCCGTATTTTTGCCTCACCCTGAATATGGGGGAGATAAGAAGCTTGAACTGAAAGATATGGGCGACTTCACCGTGAAAGAGGTTTTTGACTGCGAAGCGTTCGGCAAACGATGGTGTAGAAATGCCACACTAGAGAAAAGGTAGCTCCGCTCCCAAATGTATGCATTTCTCACGCAATTGCGGGCATCGTGTCATGCGGCTGTTTCTCGTATTTTCTGTGATGCTGCGAAAAGTGGTGGCGACGTGCGTCCCTTCGAAAATTCTCTGGGAACTCTACAGAGTAATTATGGCCGTCATATGAAGCATTTTGCTACTTTTCATTATGCATGTTCTTCAACTGGGGAAGCATGTAAGAGCAGTTCACTTTTCAAAACACTTTGATTCGAGACTCAGGTAGATAGAATTTGTAATGACAATTATGTGTTGACGAATATGGCAAATTGAACTGCAAAACAACATCCCAGAAAAGTAATGAGCGCTCAAAGTTCACTTGAAGATTGTTTTAATCAGAGTTGTTTCGCAGTTGTCGCTTCGATAATAGGGTCAAGAAGGCGTAGTGGTATTGCTCTCGCTCTGCAGGCGAAGGGCGCGATTTGTTCCCCCGGCACTGTCAAAATTTTTGCACAGCCTTTTTCGTTTCATTGAAGCTTTTATAACCTTTTTTTGTCATTTGCCACAGTAAGCACCTTATCTCGGCTCATCTATGCTTGTCGCACCTATTTTAAAATGGTTGTGTAACGAAATTCAATGAGCTGATACTGATACTGAGATATGCTTGTAATAAAATTTCGAGTGTATTGTGCGACCAGCGTAAATGATAGCCAAATAAGGCGCTCGCTTTAACAGATCACGGGAAAGGTTGTGACTTCTGATCAAAAATATTCCGTCCGCCCGGCGAACGCTACCATAAAGCCACGATGAAGCTTGATATTAACATTCGATTTCACATTTCCAATAGACACTATCTCCGAGTAAATTTCGGGCCATCATAACTTTTTTGGCAAAGATATCTGTTAATCGTTCTGTATCCAAATCAGGGGCCGTTTTGATATGCTGTCCCTTATTGACCACATATTCTCCTTATTTTGATTTTTCGGTTTGAGTGGCGGACCTTAAGGTGAACTCGTGTCGTAGTCTAATAGCAAGGGAAGGTAATTTCGTTCTCTTTATATGAACTATCGGGCTCGGATGAATATGTTACAGCTGCCTAAAAGGGGCATTAGGACGAACTGTTCGAATGCGTGCGCCATTGCATACAGCTGACTGCAATACGCTGCCTGGGACAAGATGAGGGTCTCGGTGGGAATGGTGCAACCTCCATAGCTTTTGCAACGCTTGAGAACTCGTCCGCTTCGGGCCTGTACATCGGCTATGCCGGTTTCGGGGGGTCCTTATTACGCCTATCTTGGAAGTTTCTCGACCCGACAGCCTCCTTAGGCTATAACTGAGGGTCACAGGTTTGTCATAGAGAGAAATTTCAAAACAAGTATTTACGTGTACAGTCCCTTTGAGGCCTCTTATCAAACTTATCAGCTGCTATCAATTTCTGTAATTCGTTATTAGCCATTCACCTTATGTCACGCAATGCCGTAGCAATGCTCCGCTGTCGTACGAACAGTGGAGGTTTTCTAGTCGTGAAGATAAAGCGCACGCACTATACCTTGAAAAAATAATCGAGATCACAACACCCTTGAAGGAGAATGCCCGGAGTTCGGTGCCCAGCCCATATGCTATAGAAGATCAACTCTCTTTTCTTCGCTAGCTTTTATCCACTTATCCAGGCCCACGACCTTTTTTTTTCATCTGAACGTAGAGTTTTAGTTCAAGCTTCACCCACTTTGCTTCAGCTTCACCCACACTAAGTTCCGGTGGCTGGGCAACAAAGTTGGTGAAGTTTGAACTACAAACCATCAATGTTTCCATCCTCCCGCCTGTACGCTTTGGACTTAGTAAGCCCCGAGGAATAGGTGTTACCAATCCTCGATCACGCACACACATTCAGCGCTCTATCTGGCACTGGATCGATTCCCGATTCTCAGTTCTTTTTGTCCTTTTCACACAACGACCGTTCAATGACATTTCCTGATTCTTGTCGAGACTTGAGTAACCTTGACTACCTTCACTAACTTTTGAGTTCGGTTCGTCTGCAATGCTGTTCCGCTGTGCGTGCATTTGTGCTCTCCACTAGCACTCTGTGTCTGTCCACTTTCATGTCCCTTCGACAGTGGAATTGCTGTAAAATTTTAACGTCGCTTCAACAGCTAACTTCTGCCTACCAAATTTTACGTTTCTAGAAAGAGTAGTTGACCTTGGAATCAAACTTCGCTCATCTTGGGACGCATTCCACCTGCAGTGAGCTACTAACTATTCCTGTTTGCTAGGAGCTACTAGGAAATCTTTTTTGCTAGGTTCTCACCGCTCACCGTGACGGCCCTCGTTTCCTCATTCGCACCCGAAGCTCTTCGTTCGCGCACACGTACGCACCATTTCTTTGTTGGTGGCCTATTTGAACTTAGTCGTAGTCCTTCTAATCTTATTCATACCATACCGCTCTCGAACCATCCATTGCATTGGGACGTGGGCGGGCGGTGAACGCAGGAGCCACTCGGGCACAAATTCACGTAACCAGTTTTCCGAAGTTCTGGATCGCTCTCTCGTTGATGAAACGGATCGGTAAATCTGATTTCCAGTTCTACCCTTTGCAAGCCGGTTCGCTTGGCTCACATGTGTTTTTCCACCTTGTCCTATGCCTCACTCACTCCAAATTGACCGGACTTCCAAGCGCTTCCTCAGGTGACACCAGACTCTGTAGCAGAGAAACTTGTAGACGGAAGCCTACACATAAAGCACTGGGACAGCGTTATATTTTGATTTGGTGAGGAGGGATTCTTATTAACCTGTACATTTTCACGATTTTCAGCCAAATGGAAGCGTGGTGCATTCGTAATCTGTTCAAAACCCATTTATAGTACGGCCCATCGTTGGCGGGACTCATGTGTTCCAGGTATCGTTTCTGATACAGTCTTGGCCCGAGTTGACTCAGCCCTTCTTATTGAATCTCAGGACACCGCCAAAGTAGTGTTAACGAAACAAACAGACAAACAAATGGGCAAACAGACACACCAAGCTTGTGGCTCAAAACTCTCTATATATAAATGGTAATTTTTGTGTCTGTTTGTATGTCGGCTTGTGCGTCCGTTCGCAGGAGTCACGTAGGCACGATGAGGAATGCGAAATGTCACGTGGGGGCATGTTAGCAAGGGTGAGCGACGTGTTACTGAATAGGAAGTCCATTGTTACTGCATTGGTCTCAGTAGCCAATACGATTACTTGCTGATCGCACCACGCATGTGTGTGCGTGTGTAGCGTACGCAGTCCAACCAGTACATTATAATGAAGGAAGGATGATCTGCATGTAGTGAGGATAGTGACAAACGGATAAACATAGACAGGCAAGCAGAAATCCAGACGCGAATTACGTTATTTGGTAAAGATAATGAGAGTACATGCTTACCCGACTAATGTCATCCAAAAATGTGAAGATGTACTTTCTTGTCTCTTTCGATTTAACATGGACACCGGAAGCTTCATACTCTTCTACAGTTTTCATCCGGTAGTAAGTCGGTTGGACCGGGCCCGACATATCGGCCTGAAACTGCAGATGGTCAATTAGAAAACCAAGTTTTTATTAAGGAAGCATCCTGTTCACAAGTGACCATTTTGCGGAGATCTGTACCACTTCATGTCATTCGCACTATGATGTCAGATCTGCAAACTGCCAGCGATAAGTAAAGCGTATCGAGTTTACTGCGTATTAAACGAGTGAACTAAACGAGTATTGATGAGGAGCTTTAGTCGAGGGGAATCTAGAGAATAGATGTCACGGGTTTTTTGTACAGTTACCATCCTCCTGAGTAGATACCTTCAATTGACACTTTTTGCTAGGATACATGAGGACAACTTGGAACTCATTAATTTTGAACAAAGTCAAAGGATAATCCCTTTGATACTAATCGTATACTTCGAACACATGAATGCTGTTTTGTTTTGTTTTTATATCATTGTTATATCCAGACAATCTATTCATCACTTTTATATCATTGATATATCCAGACAATCTATTCATCACAAGGAGAAGCAGTATTCATCAAAGGTCTTCTAAGAAACCCATGCGACACTGACATTGGCTTTAACAAGTATGATCACAACGATCACTACCCTTACGTGACCGCCTCAAAACTTTAATCTGTCGGTCAAACCCGATTGTTTTTTAAGCCCCCCCCCCACATCAGTTAGACGAGATGGCTCACTGTCTTCAGGAAAATTTTCTATCAAGAAGAAGGTAAGGCCACGGCATCGTAGAAATCCGTCCCGTTGTCCCAGCATATCTGTATGAGTCCAATGGGTTTTCTATCTCTCGTTGGCTTCTTCAGCTGTTGAGAGAGAAGAACCATTTTGATGAGAGCTTCGACCCCAACGTAAACATTATTTCCTCGGAAAGGAGACAACACGGTGGCGCGCGGATGTAAACCTTTCGAGAAGAAACTTAGTAGGTTTTTGGAACAGAATCTTGTTCAAGCAGGAAATTTCTCTCGATGAAGTTCAACAAGAGCATGACAATGCGACGCCATGGACTTTGGCGTATTCCCAGCTCTATGGCAATTGCCTTATCGACCACCTCAGATTGTGTTCCACCATATCTCAAACCTTATAAACACATCTGCTCCAGGTTGCTAATGCTCCTGCCTTCCTTGATAGGTGATCTTCTTTAGTTACTCGAAGGTTCGGTGAAGGGGTGCCCATTTACGTACAAGTCTACTTACTTCGCACCTCCATTCACTCGCATATGGACCTGATCTCGTTTAACCCATTGACGACATCTTAACGCATGGGCGTAAAGCCTTGCATACCGCCTTGGACCGAGTGACGCGCATGCGCGTCAACGTTTTGTCACCATTACTACTTTGCTTTGTCACCACTCCTTTGCGAGATCGCGACTTTTTGGAATTTTTTTGGGTTTATTCCATAGATAAAACATTAAGACTTCTACAAACAACGTGGTCCATGATCGGATCAAATATGGTTTATTCCAGCAAAAATTTTCCAAAACTTGTAAAAGTTTCAGTTCAAGGTGAACTTCGACTTCTCTTTCAGAGCAAACACATAAATCATAGCAGTAATCATAATTAATAGAAAGGCCCAACAATTTCAAGAAATTACGTCTCTACGCGACTAGACTTTTGTTTTTTATTGAAACAATCAAGGGAAAGAATTTCCTCTATCTACTGCATCGTATAATGGCTCTTTTTGTTTTTTCGATGCCATAGCAGATCCTTGCTCTTTGAAAATGGCTACGTCATACTCCACACATCTCCTCCTGTTGATTCCTTTTAGACCTTTAGGTACCTCCTCTAACACATGTCGCATTTAGCGACAATGATGACTCGAATATAGCCGTAATCAACATTCAGCAGAGATTCAACCACTTCTAGTTTGAAGTCATTCAGCCTGAGTTTCTTCATCACATCTTTGTACAGATTCCAAGCGTTTACAACAGCTGACTGAGTGGAAAAATCCTGTTGTACCACTTCATTGTTCTGCGCACAAATGATGTGTATAATGCCATCTGATCAGACAGATTGTCGAAACCCTTCATTTCGTTTTAGTCATCCACGACTTCCGGTTTTTGAGACGTTCCCACCGCTGCGTGATGTTTTGTAGAGATCATATACAGCCCCCTTTTATCTCTCCATTTGAGCACAAGATTTCCATTCCTCTTCTGCTTGCAACAAAGTTGGCCTCTCTTCAACTTCATTTCCTTGATTTCTTTAGGAATACCTTTTCGGTTCCTCCTGAGAGTTCCAACGAGGTGGCTCCTTCTTGCTATTCATTTCTCGGTTGGTCCAGCGCTGGAGTAGAAACTGTCCGTGCAGATGATGCGGTCTTCATCAACGTAACCTTCCATTAGTTCTAGCACAACTTGATCAGTAAGGGGTGGTGGGGGGGGGGGGGGTGTTCGTGTCTTGATGGATCTTCGACATAAATTGAACGATTTGATTCCATATCTGTGCCGTTTAGCAGGCATGTACTGCCTAAAAACGGTTCCCTCGGAATGGAATAAGGGATTCATCAACACACACCTCTTTCCCGATCGAGTAAAGTTTGGCCGCTGTCTCGTTGAACACTTGCACGAACCGCTTGACTTTGTATAACCGAAACTTTGTATAACCGTCGCCGCCGAAATTTCATTGTCTGCCAAATGGAGGTAGTTCAGTAGCCCCTCAAACCTGTTTCTAGCCATAATTTTGGAAGCAACGGCATGACCACCAAAGCCTGGTCGCGAACTCCAATAATATTGTAAATGCCGCAACTTGACCAATCAATCCTATTTGCAGACATAGTCCAACAAATCTTCTCGTTTATTCAGAGTCGGTTTCTTGAAAATTTTCACCGCCGTGAGTTCCAAAACGGTTGGTCTACTTGTCGATCCGATCCAAGATCTCATCGTTCAAAAACAGTTCGAAAAAACTTATCGGTCCTTGGCGACTGAAAACTTCATCATTTGAGCCGCAGAGACCGCTAATAATCCGAGGATCATGAGGTGATATATCACTGCTCCACGACGAAGTACTTTTATTATCAGAATCCTCTTCTGATTCATCTGATTCTGTTCTTCGCAAAACCTCATCCACCTCATCTTCAGTTGTTTCTTGTTCGTCTCCATCGGATGCGATTAGTAGTGCGTCAAAATCCAATGTGTCCGCAGCATCGTAATCGACTCCGGCCGTTCTACAGGTTTTTGAAATGTTCTTTTTCGTCGATGTTGCAGAGATTTGAACTGGGCAGCACACAAGCAGGCGACTACGTGGCGCATGGCTTGTCTGCACTCTCTCAAAGAGCCAGTGTGAATTCAAATATTCCATGTTCACTGACAAGAAGCCATTTGTCTTACTACCCCCAGTTCTCCTTTTCTACAGCCCTCTAGGCCTCTAGGGAGCAATTTTCCTACCTTTGCTTTGCAAGTGAATCAAAACTGTTTTTGCTCCGCTAAGAGGTAGCACAGAAGCAGGGCACCCCCTGTCCACTACCCTTTTCATTTACCAACATAATAAACTCCTGATGTTGCCTGTTAGCTTTGGTTTGGCACCTTTCATAGTCCACGATTTTGCGAGGGACCAGTCGCGCGACTGGTCGCGCCACCGGTCGCTCGATCGGTCGAGGAGGCCGCGCTAGTTATGGGTACCGCCGAGGACGGTCCCGAGCAGATCGAGCAACCAGTCGCTAGCGACCGGCGGCCGGTCGCCAGTCGCTCGCGAGATGGGTCCGCGACCGGTCGTGCGACCAGTCGCGCGACTAGGCTGCTTTCATAGTCCACGGTCGGTCGCGCGACCGGTCGCTCGACTGGTCGTGGACTATGGAGGCAGCCTTGCCAAAAGTGCATCTCGTCCCACGCGGCCGAAAAATCCAAAACGCGCCTGTCATCAATGAGTTAACTGATTGGCTGCTGACTTGATTGCATGAACTAGAAAATTCGTCACATTTGAAAGCATGAGAAGTGAAATCAAAGCAAAAAAGTAAATATGCACTACATAAATTATGCAACACAAAAAGTGGTGAAAGATAAAGTAGTCATAGGAAAAATCATAGGAAAGGGGAAATGAATTTATGATATTGTGAGGCGATCAAGGCGCTTGCAGGCAAATAGAGCAATACTGTAAAAAGATCTGTTAGTGGGTTGTTTTCTTTAACTCTTTACGAGGTTTGTTCATAAGCTTTATTAGGCCGACGTTTCGGCGAGTCACCTTCTTCAGAGCCTAGAAAGATAATAACAATTTATGACTATCCGGCCAAACGTCTCCACTACCATACTGAAGTTCGAGGAAGGCCACCTTTATATAAGACCGCAGCTCTCGCGTGACTGCGAGGCATTCTTCCCTACGGTTCATTTTTGGATCAGTGACTTGAATCCAAAATGCCTCGAGGGTTTTACGATTCCACAATTGCGATTCCTGTGCCACGACCTCCACGTTGACTTCAAAAACGCTTCCGTTGTGCTTTTGTATTCGGTGACTCCCTAAGGCAGTGGACCTTTCAATCTCTTCATACCATCTATGTGCTCCTTAACCCTAACGTGGAGTGGTCTTGCCGTTTCTCCAATATACTCATCACCACAATCACGGCAAGTAATTTTGTAGACCACCCCAGACATGTTACAATCACCTTCCCTTCCAGCTGGACAAACCACACCTTTTGAGGTTGTACATAGGCGATCGCATAGCCTGTTCTGAACCAGGCGTTTCTTCAGATTGAAGGGCGGTCCGTTAACAATAGCTACCGCATTTTCCAAGCCCGATCTCTCTAGACACTTCCTAATGGTGGCACTCACCTCATCAGAGATGAAGAGATGGTAGTACAAAAGGAATCTTCCCACCAATCGAGGTACTATCATGTCTGAGACTCACGCCACCAGAAGAAGCTCTTCGTGTAGTTGAAAGTTGCAGTAGCCATTCATCTGAGCAATATCGCATGCCATTTTAATCGACTCTTTTCGCTCATCCTTCCCAGTGCAAACCCTCTTAGCGGTGCGAAACATATTCCTAACAACCGCTCGCCTTATGTAAAAAGGATGAGCTGAGTGATAATGGACAATGGTGTTTTTATTGCTAGGCTTTCTGTACCACTTCGTAACAATCATATCGCCCTGTAACCTCACTTGAACATCTAAGAAAGGAAGCCAATTCACGTTCGGTTTTCCCGAGTCAACTTAATGTGCTCCGATTGGCTGCATTCATAGTCCGCCGGCCGACCAGCCGGTCGGCCGGCGTGCGAGCCGAGGCAGTGGGTGGGAGGGAATGAACTTGAGGAGCTGCACTAAAATGGTATAAAGAAACCACGCAATTCGGTCAGTAGGGCCACCCACGCAGCTTATGATAGGACGGACTTTCACGGATGTTGGGTTGATTGAAGCTAAGTCATCTGCATCCAAAAACTTGTGTTTCTTTATGAGCAGATACAGGGCGGGACAACAAGGCGACTCAAGTTTGAGCCTCGTTATCAAGGTTGAACCCAGTCCTGTGGATGCGGATGACTTACTTCAATCAACCCAACGTCCGCGAAAGTCCGTCCTATCATAAGCTGCGT